AGACACTGAGGCGACACTGGGCAGGGTATGGACAAGAACTCTGACTTTCAAAAAGGGAAAACTATAAAAAAAAAAAAAATAAATAAATATCTATGGGAATGGTAACAGGGAAGAGCTGGAACTGCTTCAAGTAATAGCCGATCATGACCCAATCCCGAGTTGCAAGTGTCAAGTGTCTTTCAGGAGCTCCGTGCTGCAGTTGTGACCTCACCACAAGTCGCCAAAACAAGACATTTCCTCATTCTGTGTTGGGCTTTGCTGGAATCAACAAACATCTGTCCAAAACGGACCAGAAATCACACAGCTTGCAAATGTTTCTAATGCTCCCGAGCGGAGAGCATGAATATTTAGATGGGCATGGGGATGGGGATGGGGAGGCTGGCTGGCTGGAACTGCATTGAATGACCGAGAATTGTGTGCCATTTTTTATGTGACAAGCCCGTAGCAGAGCACGTACTAAGCTGACACAATGATGCAATCATCACGTGCAGCAGAGGCACCCGGGGCGGAGGAGGCAGTCCAAGAGCATTTGTTGCGTTTGTTTTTTCCCATTTTTTTGTTGTTTGTTTTCTTGTTTGGTTTCCACAAATACTATGTAATACAGCCGGGAATCAAGGAACTACGGTGGGCAGGGAGGGAGGAAGGGAGCCAGCCAGGGCCATGGATTCATGATTCGGCAGGGATTTGGTCAGTTGGATGCCGGGGCGCTCACTCGGCTTTGCGGTTTTGTCAGATTACAAACATTGAATAGTTCTATGGGCGAGAACGAACGAACCCTTTCATATTTTAATTGTTGGGTGTTCTGTGCGGCAGCTGGCATTGCGGGGCTTAGCACAGTGGTACGTGACGAGACCACACGCGCGCCTCTTACACCATCGAGCAGCCCGGCAGTGCCACACATTCAATACAAATGGAAAACCTCGCTGCACAGTGCCATGGCCAGCAGATGCATCTGATCTCTGTCTCTGTCTCGGTCTCGGTCCCCGGGCCAGTGCATTGACTTGGCAATTAAAATTCTACAGATATGCGATACATTAATTACTCGCTTCAATTGAAATGCAAATGCCAAAACTCAGTCCAGACCAGGACAGGCCAGGCCAGGCCAAACCCAGTCCAGAGTCCGGGGCAGCGTCTCCAGCTAGCGTGTCTCAGGCAAGTTAAGCATCGCCACAGAGGCTGTGTGGCTGTGGCCGTGACTGTGTGGCAGTGGCAGTGGCAGATTCCCTTGCCACAGCTAGTTTCCAGGAAAGTCGCTTCGCGATGATTTACAGCCAGAAGCGCATTTTATTCTGGCCGTTTTTCGCTTTGGCCGAAACAGCAACAGAAACAGCAACACACTCACACAAAAGTTGACACTTTATTGATGGCCATAAATTGTGACGTCTGGCAGCAATTAAAGCAACATGTCCCCAAGGACACGCCGCCCAGGCTGGCCGCTCAGTCACAGGACAGAGAGAGAGAGAGAGAGAGAGTCAGTGATTTGTTTACAGAGATTAGCGTGCGCGTTGGGCCAGGAAAACCAGAAGCAGGGAAAATTTGTGTCAGGTGCCGCCGTCCAGCCAGGTAGTGGACTAGAGCACGCCTCCGCTCCTCCATCCTCATAGAGGCAAACAAAACGTCAGAAAGTGCACTGAATTTATGTCGCTGCGATTTACGATTCCAGGCTGCGCAATCCTGCCACTGTTTCTGCCCCAGATCCACAGATCCTTGTCCCATAGTTCCAACGAAACGAAAGTCGTATATATACTTTTTTTCTTCGGTCTGGGAACGGCGGAAAAAAACGTCGAAAGAGTAAGCGTCAACGCCTCTATTTGGGTTACGCCCACCAGCGGCACAACAGCTTGTCATACGCCTACAAATCCGAATCTGAATCCGTATTGCGATTCCCGAGCTCTGCTCTGTGGATGTCCATCTTGGGCCATGTGTGGCTGTTGTTGTTGGAAGGACACAAAAAAAAACTCGGCCATAAATATTGAAATTTATGTAGTGCGCGAGAGGGAATGCCTCAGGATGGCCTAACAGGGCCAATCACCCAACAACTGGCATGTCCTGTGCTCTGTCCTGTGTTCCCCCCCTGGTTTATTAGTGTTTATTTGTGGGCTGGTTCAAAGGATTCGATGGTTTATGGTCTGCTCCAGTGCACTCCGTAATCCCTGGATTTATTACTACTATCCGTTTGAGCAGTGACTCTCTTTACTGTGGGTTTTTGCTCATTACAGAGAGAGAGAAAAGCCCAAACGCCGACTGAGAGTTTCAATCAGAATCAAAATGACAGATCAACAAGTATACCCTCCCCCCCACCACATTTATGTTGGATTATTTTATAATGTACTACCCACGAGCGCGGCCCAGATCATTTGTCAAAACATGTCATTTGGGCGGAAAAACAATTTAACAACATTTAGACCAAACACACAAAAAACCAAAAACGAAAACAAAACACAAATGCGGCCAATCAACATAAATTCAAAGCGCAGTTGGCTGACTAAAATGCCCAAATGGCCATTTGAGCGGCTGAAAAGTGAAAGTCTAATGTGGTTCAGCGAATACGAATACGGACACCGACACGGACACCGACCCAGCCTGGATTGGCATTGCGCCTTCTGGTACACATACTCCCCTGTCTAAATCCAAATTCACGTCCACATCCACGTCCATGTCCATGTCCTCCCCCACCACGCCAAACCATTGCTTGTAATTTTGTACAGAAAACTTTTATTACGATAGGATTTGTTAGTCTGGCTGGCTAGCTGCTCTGTCTCTGGTTGTGGCTCTGGCTGTTGGCCAGTTAGCCGCCGCAGAAAGATCGAAATGCAAATGCCTGAGACAAGCGGTTGGGCATTTTGTTTGGGGTCGTCGCCGTCGTCGTCGCCCCAAATCAGGTTGTGGCCAAAACAACCAAAAAAAAAAAAAAAAAAAAGCGCTCCAGTTATGTCGAAAAGAGCCCAAAAACAAAACATGAGGTAACTCAGCGGAAAATGCAGCATGCCCGGAAAAAACTTAGCCTTAGCGGGGGGAAATCGCTGCGTACTTTTCCGTATCGCCATGTAAAGCAAAGTGTTGTACATGTCCGCCGGCCTCAGACGCCATCGTCGTAATCTGTCTTGCCTGCTCCACGTCCTCTTTCCTCATATAACAATATTTATGTGTGCGCTGCAGCATGCGAGGTGCGATGGAGAAGTTGTTAAGGAATTCCAGAAATTATACAAAAACCACACAAACATTTTGCTGCAGAGTTTCCGTCCCTATTTCTAATCGGAATATTTGTGAAAATATTGCCATGAATATATGTATGTGAAATGTCCAGGAATGGAAATATTACAACAAAAAAACACACAATAAATTTAAAATACATTTCACAGATAACATTTTGATAAACTTTCAGCGACCACCACTTTGCCCCCAGCCCCCCCCAATTTACGAGTCAAAAAACACTCCCAGAGATTCCCAAATTGCAGGCCATAAATCTTGTGCTCGAACCCCAACGAAAAGAAAACCAACCGGCCGAGAATTTGATTTGACATATCAATAATTTATAACGAAATTATAGTTTGCATTGGCAGCAGCAGCAGGAGCAGGAGCAGCGGACTGCAGCGGAGACCGGAACTGCTGCCGGCTGGTAATTACCACCAAAAACCTGGCCATAAAGTGTGATCGGCGGGCCTCAATGAGTTGTCTACAGGGGCTGGGGCAGGGGCTGGGGAGGCTGCTCGCTGAATCGCTCGACAATCCGTCGATTAAAATCGGTGTTAAAATTTATGCAACCAGGTTTTTATGTGATTTCTATCGACACAACAAAAGCAACAACAACTGTTGCCAGATTTTTTGTGATTTGGCCATTTTCGGTTTTGCCTAACGTGTGTGTAATTGTGGCCAAGACAAGCGATTTATGGGCCAGGCCTATTTCGACCCAGTGGAAAATCCACTCAACGCATTACCCGATCCAATGGTTCGGAACTGCCCGTAGTTCTATTCACATTTGATGGGCAGAACCAGCATTCGCCTCTGGGTCTCTGGCCAAATATGGCAGCCGAAAATGTATCGGTATCTGGCCAAACAGACACCACCGACCGACCGACCGACCGACCGATACACCGCTCGAGCAGCGACCCACTACCGTGTGCATTTGGGGGCTTTATTAATAGAAATAAATCAAGTTTTGTGCACCGACATCAATTAGCTGCAGCCATGGCGAAAACCAGAGTCCGACCAGCAGCGGCAGCAACTTCCTACCCACTGGCGTCAGATACAAATGTATCTGTATCTGCACAGGCTGCTGCTGGCTGCCGGCTGCCGTTGTTGGTGTTGGCCTGGTCGTGTAGCAGCCGCCACATATGTTAATAATTTGCAAAATGCATTTGTCTGGCGATAACATGCAGGTGATACGCCACCGCCGCCGCATGTTGCACCGCCGCCACCTGCACACTCAGAGGCTGGTCGGAGTCTCCACTCCACTACCCAAGCCACAGCAGCTCCCCCAGTCTCTCTCTGGCGATATCCCTTGTCTCTGTGGCGCCCCGAAAAAAGTTTTGCTAGCAATTAGCGCTCTCGGATCGCGCCTTATCGCAGCTTATGAAGCTATCAGAGTGTATGGCTGCGTGGATACGAGGCCTGTCATAAGTCAGACATGAAACCAGACCCCAATCAATGGGCAGAGGCTGCTGGCTCCATTAGATAAAAATGCATTGGCCCATAGATAAAGGCCTTAAACGCAGCGATGCATTCCACCGATAAGACCCTAACCGAACCGATCCGATCCGATCCGACCCGAAAACGGGCGCCCAGCAGACAACGGGCCAATTCATAATTTCTGACGTCGGAGTTTTTGGGGTCCCCGTGCAACAATGTCGCGCAGGCGTAACCCGATACCAGCAGGGACATACTCGTAAATCGCCAGCGGAGTGGGGCACCGTCGGGCCACCACTAGCCACAGAACCAACAACCAACAACCAAAACCCAAAACCGAAACCAAAACGAATATTTCTGTATCTGGTTTTCATTTCATCGCCCAGCGGTGGAGGTAGGGAATATTTTTTAATTTATATTTCGTTAATTTTTATATGAAGAGTTGACATTTCGGCCCGGTCGAGGACAACCATCCAGAGGCACCACCGTTCTCAGTCGTCGTCGTCATCATCATCATCATCGTCGTCGTCGTCGTCGATTGTCGGTTGTGGTCTTCTCGGACATCGTTATCGCCCGTTTAGGCAACGCCGCTGGGAGCACACAGACTCTGATTCCGATCCCGATTCAGACTCCAAACACCCATTATGATAAATCATTTTGGTTTTTATTTCTTGACATGTTTCTTTCTCTCTCTGCAGGCAGAGCCACGGACCTTATCGCTGTTGTCAGTGTATTCTACCGGAAAAAGCATTTAGTATATATTTTGGTAAGTTTTTTTTATCGTACGCCACGCCAAGGGAATTCGCCAACTGGTTTATGGCAATGCCCTAATGGCAACCAAAAAGAACACTTTAATATTCTATTACTTTGATTTGAGGTTTCTTATATTTGCGGTTTGCGGTAATGATCCTCCTCTCGTCCAGAAAGGAATATGCCACCAGATCGATGTAGATCACTAAAACTACAATAAATGGGTGCGGGGTGAGGGTGAAAGTGGGGGTGTGCCGATGTGTACTTACTCTGGGGAACTGCATAAATTATGAACATTTCCAGATCAATGTCGTAGAGAATGGACACGAAAAGATAGAAGGAATTCACCAAGAACGGTGGTATGTGTGCCAGTAGGTACACCAGACATAGCCAGGAGGAATTCTGCACGGGGAAAATAAAGAATTTTGATATGCAGAATACCCCCAAGGAGCATAATTACCAGCAGGCCAGCAAGGAGCAGGACAAAACTGAGCACAGCCATTATGCTGTAGGTAAAGCCCAGTATCCAAAATCCTTGAGTTTCCACACTACCGTCAATGCTTTCATGGAGTTCTGTTTCCACTTCCGCGAGCTCAGCGAACAGCAGATATGCCACGAACGGGTAGTACACGATCATTAGGGCTCCAGACACAATGCAGCCCCAACGCAGGTCAAAGTAATAGCAGCATGACGTACACACAATCATCTTCGCAGCGAAATATCAAGTGAGGTATTTCGAGCTGTGTTTATTTTGATAATATTGAGCATAAAATCATGTGACTGTGATCAGAGATTAAATGGGAATCAAGGTGGATAAACATATAAATTCATATATTTGTTTCCGTGAAATGCAATTATGGTTCTTAAAAAATAATCTGTGCCGCCATTTGATTTACAATTAATTCGGGGAATTAAATTGGGTTACAAGTGGCAGGCCACAAACCGTTGACCCTATAAGCGAACATTTAAGAATTTGGCTCTTAACTGGCGCATGATTCATGCAATGAATCCACCGACTCGACTCGACCCGACCCACCGAGACTGAGATCGAGACCGAAACCGAGACCGAGCCCTGCTGCGAGACACTTTAAAGAGCAAAACCTGAAACAGCAGATAGGCATCGCCAACAAAACGAAATGCCATAAAAAAGACCAAGACCAAGACTAAGACAGTCCACAGCAGATCTGTGAGAGAGTCGGATCGGGTTGGGGTGGGGAGAGGTTTTTGTAAAAATTAAGAAATTCATAAGTTCTGTGTTTCGCGCTGAAAGATTTTATGGGATGCGAGCTGCAGGCATCCGATCCGATTCGATCCGATTCCCCACCGATCCCGGTTGCAGATTGAGATGGATATACGAAAGAGCTTGTTGAGTTCCCTGGAGCTGTGGCTATAAAATGTCGCTGACGGGCCCTTGGTTAGCCATTAAACTGGGCATCAATGGGTTTGGATTCGAATGGGATTGGCATCCAACACACAGATCTGTCGCCCCCACAGCCAGCGAGTGCTGCGCTAATGTGACACTAAACTGATGTTATAAAAAATCCGCTTATCGCGCCAACAATGCCCCGGCAAACCCCAACAAAAAAAAAAAAAAACTAAATACCCGTAAGACCCCGAGACCCCAGGCGAGCACAATATGAAATTTCAGACTGACTGACAGGCCAGGCCAGACCGAGAGATCTCGTTCGGCCCACGGGCAGAGAGACCAAAAAAAAAAAAAAATTTAAAAAAAGAGTGTACGTAGAATTAAATCAAATTTCAAAGTAGTGCAGCCAAGGCTTCAATGGAAGAAAATAGAAGAAATCGTCGAATTACCGTCACCCCATGACAGAGTCTTAGAGGCCCCCATACTCAGAAATACTTTTGCTGCTGCTGCTGCTGCTGTTGCTGCTGTCAGGTGTCTAATTCGAATGTCAATGTCGCCAGGGCCTGTCCCCTGATCAGTCCAAGAACTTGCCCTCATAATCGTATATGGAAAATATGAACCACGCAAACAAAAAATGAAATAATTATGGCAGAGCAGAGCAATCTGTTTTTTTTTTTTTTTTTTCTTTTTTGAAATTTCACCCAAAGCACTCGTCGTGAATGGAGTACGGAGTACCTCTCACACACATGTCGAGAGAACTTGTTTCGCTGGTGGAGTACGTGGTGTACTCTGCTGGTGGGGACTCTGACTTTGACTGCTCGATGCGGCCATCGATCAAGTTCGAGTGCCCGTACTTCAATTATGCGTAATTTAAAAGAAATTAATGTCGTGCAAGAAATTACTCTTCGGACTTTGGTTTTTTTTTGGGTATTGGGGGGTTTTTTTGTAAGAGCGCGACGAGCGATGTTTTTTTTGAGCACATAATCATAATACTTAAATTATTGGCATTAAATGCAGGTCGCGCCCAAAACGAAACCACTCAATAAATTGCAAGGGAACAAAATTACTTCTTTATGAGGTCCAAAAGATGAAATACAAATTTTAAATATCTAAAAAATCGTCCAAAGAAATCCTTAGTAAAAGTTCAATGCGATTTGGAGTATTTTTATTTGCTTAGTGAAAATTCATATAAATTTACAAACAAGAATTTCCAGCTAATCTAAAATCTGGCAGCTGTAATAATCAGAGTATCAGGAACATAGGCCACGGGGCCCGGACAATCCAATTTTTCTTGCACGTATCTCAATCTGGTCATTCCTCATCCGCCATCCTGGTGGCAAAGTCAATTGCTGTGCAACGTAGCTTTTTCCCCAAAAAATGAAGAGAACAAGCAACAACGTACATAACCTTCAATTATGATATATATTTTATGAGAGCACTTGAAAAACCGATGGCAGGCCAAGCCCTTTGTGCTCCACCACACACAGAGAGAGAGAGAGAAGAGAGAGAGAGAGAGACGAGACTTTGGGAGTATAACAATAAAATAAAGTGCAGTTAACACATGACTTGGCGCAAATAGTGTCACATTTTGATAAATGACACTCGTTTGTCAAACGGGCACCATAATATCCAAGTCAGTCCCGTTCCCGTATCAGTTCCGTCCCGTACCGCCAGCCAAGTTTAAGCCGCGAGTGCAAAATAAACTTCCAAGTATGACGACCTCACTTTGTGTCGTCTCAGCCCCCCCTACCCAAACCCCAACAACAACTAAAATATATATCGTTTAAGCCAAAAACGTCTTGTCTGGGGCGAAGGTGTTCGGAGTGCGTTACACGCCCCAAGAACCAAAGGCAACATCTTGACGGATGGCCCCGGCAGACTCTGAGGGACAGCTTTATTATGTCTTAATTCGTACCCCATGCTTCCCGTACTCTACACACTCTTCGGCTTGGGATTTGGGCAGCAGCAGAGAGAGAGGGAGAGAGAGCGAGCGGAATGCATGACCGATCCCCAACACTCACATTCCAGCCAACAGTGGGTCAACTTTCGTTTCGGGGCGTGGCTATACCAACCGCGTTGGTCCGAGCTGTTAAAAAAAAAAAAAAATTGAATTAAATTTGCCGAACGCGCAAATTAATTTCCACGTAATGCGTGGGGCAAGCGTTTGCTTGTAATTTCTTAATACTGCGCCCCAAACGCGAGAAAGCCAAAAGGAGAGGTGAGGTGAGGTAAGGTGGATATTGTGAGCGTATTGGCCACATTTCATTAGGTGGTCTCGGCACTCGGGCCACTCTTCGGGGTCGTCTCTCTGCCCAAGCAGCAGTGGGCGCGGCCGTATTGCCAAAACTTTATTTACCGCTAGAACTCAAAGCCGAAGGAGATGCAGATGCGAATGGGACTGAGGCTGGGGCTGGTGCTGAGACTGAGACTGGGGGGACGTTGAGATGCCAGCCAGCCTTTTGCTGAGATGATCATCTGCCGTTGCTTTCTGGGTAGGTGTAGCCATAAAGTTCGCGCTTGCAGGCCAAAGTGAAAGAACGAGTTTCCCGCTCGCTCTGTCGCTCTCCTCATGGCCATAACAATTACAAACACTTTGGGCCCAAAAGCTATAGAGGACTCAACTTTGTTTCAGATTTTTTTGGGGCGTGGTTGATTTTTTTTTCTTCAAGGGGAGGCAGGCGTAGGCCTGTTGTAGGCCAAGCAGCGGCATGCAAGCGATCCAATTGACTTTGTCAGGAACGAATCTATGCCCAGAACGACAGACAGGGTGTCCAATGTTCGGTGCGCCACCAAATCAGGTTGGGGTGTGTGTGTGTATTCGTGTGGCTCTTGAAAGTGGCACAAACCAATGCAGTAGGCACTGCCACTGCACACTGCACACTTCACAATGCATTCAGCATTTGATAGTCAATAAATCTGAACATTAGCCAGACTATCTTCGCCATTGGCAGTGTGGCATTGTCATACGCGACACACAAGGTACGGGGCACGGCGTATGTGAAACGTGTTAAAAATAAACAGTTGTAAAACTGATCCCAACTAATCCCAGCCAGCATCTTGATAAATTATGACTCGCATCGGCTTTTGTTCAATTTTCAACTCATCGTCAGCTGTAAATGCCACACCATTTGCATCCAGGGGGGAAATGTGCGGCAGGTTAAATAGTTGGATGCCTCTTGGACCCCCAAAAAAAAATAAGAAACGAAAAGAAAAGAAGGTGTCACCATCCAAAGACCCACAGACAAAAGACTAAATGGATGGAAATAAAACTTTGCCGGAATGTAAAATTGTAGCCTTAGCGTGGTAAAGGGGGGTGTAGCAGGTGGCAGTCAAATGTGCAACATGAGATGGCAAATTCGAGAGGCAACTACGAAAAGTTCTCTCAAGACAAAAGGCGCACTAAGCATTGCCAGGCAGCCTCTTTGAAATACTCTGCTAATCTGTGCTTTAACACTGCCCTCATTTGGGTATTCTCTTTTATTTCTTTCAGTGTTGCGGCTCCCCATTCACAAAAAGCGCATCGTCTTTGCTTAAGCTTACAAAATGATGCATCTTCGTATGCAACAGTCAATCGGCGGCAACGACATAATTTAGACTTTTCGCCTTGGCAGACACAGACACAGCCACAGCCACAGTCTTTGTCTCCCCATCACCCCGTCCTCACTGCTGCTGTTCTCCCCCACTTTTCCAGTGGGTAAAAGCTAAAAGAAAACACTTCCCTCCGATCCACTCTCTCCGGTTCCCTATTGTCTGATTGTCTGGTGAATTAAGTGCAAACATTAGCAGCAAACAAAGCGAGGCGCAGCAGAGTGGGACTATGATGATGATGCTGATGATGATGATATTAAAGATGCTGCTGATGCTGAAGACTACGTTGGGCGTTGCTGATAATACCCCATGGGCTTTACACCTAGGCAAATGGAACGTGATAGAGCTTTTCTCTCTCTCTTCGCTTTCGTGCAAATGATTATCAATCATTTTGGGATTAAAATTCCTTGTGGTGTTTTGTCACACATTTCCCTTAGCTTCCCCATATACACACGTATGTATCTCTCTCTCTCTCCCTCGCTCTCTGTCCCTATATATACTTATATTGTAGATCTGCATATGCTTAGTATGGCTGCTGCTGGTGCTGCTGCTGCTGTCGTCATCAATATAAACTGCGATGGTATTTAGCATAAAAAAGTCTTTCACTGCCACAACGACAAACGGCCCTCAAATGCTGCAGGTGTCCCGGCCACAAATCTCCCCAGGGAGAAGAGGCAAAAGCTAGGGTACACAGATACAAAGCACACAGATGCAGATGCAGATACATCTACAGATACATCTACATCTCATGGGTTAAAGAGTGTTGCCTGACAATATTTCCTCGTTGCCCGATCTGTTTGCCGTTTGTCGTTTGCTTTTGTTATATTTTTTTCTGTTTTTGTTTTTTTTTGTATCTGTTTCAGTGTTTCAGTTTGTGTTTTTTTCTGTTTCTGTTTCAGTTTGTGTCTCTGTTTTTTTTTTTATGTTGAACGATTCTCACGTTTGTACCTCCTGACAAGTGGATTTAGCGGCATTGATGTATGAGTTTACAGATAGTTTCCTTGCCTTTCCTTTCCTTAGCTTACCTTCCCCATCTGCCTGACTGCCTGACTGTCTGACTCCCCCGTGGCACGTCCATGGGGCTCTGTTGCATATGCTTTCAGTTGAGTGATGCTGCTAATGGCTGGCAATTAATATTGTAACGGTGCCTCTCAGCCTGTCCAATCGAGAGCAGATCGTCGAGACAATTGCCATTTGCTCAAAGCTCTCCTTGGCTGTGCCTTTTTGATTAAATCCGTCTCGTAAATTCAAATGCATTACGCGCATAACCAGCCCCCCACACAAAACGATCATAAATTCGATTCATAAATAAGCCCCGTCGCGGGCTCATGTCTAAGCTCCGCTCTAAGCTCTGCAATGAACGATTTCATAACCAATTATTATATGGATTTATGGTAAAGGCCACTGAAAAAATCTCCAACTCTGCCAGCCAGCCAATTGGGTGCCCCCCGCCACCCGGAGCATTCGATTATTCGTGTCTGAGGAGAACTTTTAATGGTTTGCGGCTTTAATAGTGCGGCAAATTAAAGCTGGTTCATAAATACAAATTCTGTTTCTGGACTACATCAAGAGAATTACATTTCCGCAGAGAAATGCACTGAACTCTCTGGCTGCCACACTCAATGCCAGGTAGCCAGGTTAGCCCGCCCAGAGCCAACTACGAGCGGGTTGTAAAAACTGTCATGATTTACAGTTCGCACTTTTTACGATCCTCGGGTTGGCTCTATCGGTTCGGAATTATATGGAATCTAACCAAGCGAGAAATATGTCTTCTAGAAAACATAATTCTACTTCTTCTCTATTTTTTTTTTTTTTCGCTTCTTTCAACTCTTCTAGGGTTCAGGCCGTGTTGGGTTTTCTTTCTGATTTTTGTTGTTGGTTAGTTTTGTATTTGGTTTTATGTGTGGCTTTTATGGCCCAGAGCGCATTTCCTTTACTTCTGAACGGTGGCAAGCGGGTAATAAAAAGAACTCTGTTTCTCTTGTTTGAACTTGGCCCAAAACAATAGAAGAGGCCGCCGCCGCCTAATACGAATAGAAGAGGATTCTTCATGCATTTTGTTGCAACGACAACTGATGTAATTAAAATCATTTATTGGCATATCTAAAGCTGAATTTTACTTGGCATCACGTAGTCCACATAAAGGCTCTCTTCGGAGGCCATGCTCCTAGCCCTAGCCCTAGCCCCAGTCAAAGCCACAGCCAAAACCATTTTCATTTTCCCCAGGCTGGCTGGCTGGCTGGCTTTTCACTTAAAATTCACACTTGATACACAGAGGGAACATTTATCATTTCGCTGGGATCTCTTGCGCTCCAAACGCGGCCTAAAAGTGTCGTCGACGACGTTGTAGCGCGCTGCTGTAGCTGCCTTTAGGGTTTCCAACTCGTTTTCGCATCTTTTGATTTATCTTCAAGTGCTCCAACAACGCTCTGCCGCAGCTCTGCTCTGGCTTTTATTTGTACGTACGGCAACCTAAATATTGAGATAGCCATCTGCGGTCAGTGTCAACTGGAGCGTTGTGTATGTGTGTGTGTGTGGATGGGAATGGGGTAGTTCCTTTGCTTCATTAGATGGGTCGTAAAACACAACAATTCTCACGGATCCACCGGTAGGTACAAACTCTGGCAATCAGACGACAATTCACTGCCCAGATGACGCTAGATACGGATAGGAATAATAGTTTTGGCGGATACGTGCCGGGGCTTAAACTCTTTAACCGGATTACATAAGCACCATGCAGAGCAGAGCTATCGTTTCATGCTCATTATGCACACTTTAAGGCAGCGAAACAAATTGATTTCAACGCAAGTTAACACACAGTAAAACTAAATAAAATTGGCTGGAAAAATGTCACTCAATTGCTGGACGTAGCAAAAAGATGCTGTGGCAATCGCACCTCCCATGGCTGGGCACTCTTCTGTGTAAGTAACAAACAAACTAAGCCAAGCGATTGATAGATTGATGTCCAAAATCCATTCGTAGTACTCGTCTTTGTACGGGCCCAAGTGGCACCTAACTCTCTGACAAGCGCCATGCCGCTAATACAAGCTAGAAACGTTAAAGGGCGAACCGGTGGCGATGCCATTGCTGAGCTGGAGATCGGTCCGCATTCTAATCCCCTGTCACTTGTGAAAATCTTCAATCCCGATGCGCTGCGTGCCAGGACGGCACTTGCCCCAGCCATAACGCTGGAGCTAAAGGGCATGCGTCTGCTCCTCCGAACCAATGAAGGAACGATCAAGAAAGTGGGCTCATGAATGTACATTGTACATATGGAATAACAATTGCTCTGGTTGTAAAGGCTCCAAATGCACCGTTAGTAAAAGTTCATTCGCCTTGGTTTCGGTTTTTGGGTGTTTTTTTTTTGTTCAGTTTTTTGTTGAATTTTTGTGTTCGGTTTGTCGTGGCTTTTATCAATTGTTAACGCAAAGTATGACAAAGTGGGCAACATTAACGCTTTTGTATGCATCAAAAGACATGTAGAAAACCCGAAAAAATTATGACAATTTCATTCGAAGAACCACTTCGTCAATGTCAGCCTGACGAACCCAAAAGATCTACACACAGTTTTGTTTTGTTTCTGTGTGTGTTCTGTTCTTACCTGTTACCTGTTGGGGCAGCAGCAAGTTGTCTGCGCGACTTGTCGTGTTTTCTCGCTACAAAATGTAACACAAAAAGCCCACAGCTGTCCGCCAAGTAACTAGAAAAACGTGTAAAATTCAGCTACAACCGTCAGCTTCAGCTCCAGTCAGACAAAAGCCTAATTGGGTATTCCCTGATTCCGGGAATGGTCCTAAAAACGTAACTAACTCTAGGCGGAGGCCGTTAAGACCTTAGCAGAACTTTACATGTTATGCAATATTTACATTTAAGTCAAAAGAAAATCTCCTTGTGTGGTCCAACAAGCCCTGACACCAGACTCAGCACTGCAATCAATACTTGACCCGAATAGTTGGCCAAAGACGACTTAGGGCAGCACTTAGTGTGGAACTGCTTAGTGGGGCAAAGAAGCTGCGACAAACTTGGGACAGTGGGCGGCAGCTGGCCGAAAGATATACCCAGGTATATTTCCTGTTTAAGTAGCCCATGGGGCTATGGCCTTGTAGGATAGTTTCCAGGTGAAGTTGCCCGTTCCATTCTTCAGTTTGGAACCACTGTGCGCGGCTGTGCTTTCGATGATGTGGTTCAACTTGTCACTCTTTGTTTGCTCTTTGGTAAAACCTCTGGCCAAAAACAATCTCCCGCTAGCCGCCTCACCTTTCATGCCTCCGCCACAGCGCAGCCCCTGACTGTGGCTGTCTCTCGGTTTGTATGACTATCAAACTGTCAGAAATTATGACATTTGAAATTTCACGTAACCGTACAAGAAAGCTGAGGCTTAACGCTCCACACAGCAGCCCACCCCCCTTCCCCCCACCATCAGGTATCCGTGAAAAGCCAAAGCCAAAGCCAAAGCCACAGCCAAAGCCAAGTGTTTCGAGTGTCGGGTTTGGGTTTGGTGTTTTCTTGAAATACATACGAAATTTTCAATTACAGTTCGTGCCAAAATGCGAGAGATCAAATTTAGTGCCCAGCTCTCTCGGCCGTCTGTCTGTCTGTCAAGAGCTGGAAAGAAATACATCTCCAGCAACAGAAGCCGCCGCAGCAGCAGCAACATCGGACGAACATATTCAAATGTTTAACATGAATTGTGCCTCATATTGCAACAACAACAAATACACAAATCAAGTGAAGGCTGCTCAAAAGCAACTCGACACTCCAGATACCCAGTAAACATGGAAGTTTGTGAGATAAGCTCTGCAGAGATTAGATGTACCCCTTGGGTATAGGAATCGTTGGGTAATGTGCCAGAAAGCAGCACGAAACTCTGCCATTCTGTATATACCCTCTGTTTACTCTACAAGTACTGGGTATTACAAAATTTGCTAACGGGCAGGCTCCAAACACACGCGCCAAATATTTGTTAGTAGATTTTATGGAGCCACCAGATTCGGTATTTTGGCTTCGTTTTTTTTTTTTTGGGGGGCTGTCTGTCAATGAATGGAGACCGATGTCGTGTTTTTGTCATCGCCCCACGGTGTCTACAATTGTTGAGCATGCAAAATGTACAAAAATATCAGAAATGTATGGAGTCAGTGTTGGAGTGCTGGAGCTGGGAGCTGGGAGCTAGGGGTCGGTGGAAACACAATTTACGAAAAGTGGATTTGGCGTCAAAACATTTTCGTTTTTGTATTTTTGTCATTTAATTGAAATTTAATGATAAGGCATTTATTTTTATATGCGGTGCAAGCAATGAAGAAGGAATTTTTACAGGCATATGGAACTGCGAATGACTCAACGAACGGATGAATGATCGGATTTGAATATCTAATAAGTGCCAAGCAGAGCAGAGCAGAGCAGAGCCCGGGCACCAGGATGAGTAATGGCATCAGGAATGCGATTGTTCGAATGGGAACTGCCTGATTCGGCTGTGGAAAACTTCAAGAGACAGAAGAATGAATATGATTTTTATTTAAAAATATTTCACTTGCATTTCTTAGGATCTACTTCCACAGTAGTTTTTTGTAGTTTTTTGTTTCCTTCTTGTAACTGGAAATTCTCAATATTTTATGGAACTATTCAGGGTTAGAATCTCCAAAACTTTCCAGAGTTACCTGCAGTTAATCTACTCCTAATCAATCAATAGATCTGTTTCCTTCTGCCACCCATTTGATAGCGCATTCGAGTGTCGCCTTTGGCCACTTCCGTTGGCTGATTTGCTCACTTTTGAAATTTGATATTCCCCAATTTTCTCGCCTCAATTTTGCGCTTTTCAAGCTGTTTTTTTTTTTCTCAACGCGTTCTTTTTGGCATTTGGCTGGTTTGAAGGGAGAATCAGCGCACAATTCAGCCAGGCAGCGGCACAAAAAAAAAAAAGAGCGAAAAAAAAAGCTGTTAACTAGGCAGAAAGTGAAACACTTGGCTGGCTTCGATGGCGTTGGGGAAGTGGGGCCTGACAACGCAATTTGCTGGCGAGAAAGGTGATTTTCAAATTGGTTCATTGTGCCTCTGGGGCCTGCCTGCGTAGCCTTATTGAAATTGAATTGAATTGAATGGAATGAAATTGATTTATTTGTTTGTTTGTTCGATTTGCCGGCGAGAAATTTGCATATAAGTGCGATATAATTGATTAGAAAGTGTGTGTGTGTGGTGTGTGTGCTCGAAGCGACATGGGGGAGGAGTTGAGAAGGAGTACGAGTAGCTAGCTGTTGGGGGGCCGGGCCAGGCCACCGCCTGCCACACACTTTCGCTGGAAACGCGCGCCGAAAGCGACTTGGAACAGCGAATGCGGGCCACTAGAAACCGCTTTGAATGTGCATATTTTCCCAAGAATTTCCGTTGCCGAGCTGAAAATTGTTATTGAAGATGGTCGAGAGGAGAGCTGGGAGCTGGGAGGCAGTGAGGCGGTGCGGAGAAGCCGTTGATGGGGTAAAACTTGAAGTGAAGTGATAAAAAGCCGCCGAGCCAGAGGCAGCGTCAGCGGCAGAGGCAGAGGCATAGGCCGAGCACAGCTGTCAGACCGGGGACGTTCCGGGCGGGCACTCGAAATAATTTTCTACGAAAATGTTTCAACAAAAAAAGCAAAACCCGAAGAGAATACAAAACTTTCCTTCATCTTTTCTATAGCCTCTGTCCCCCCCCTCCATACCCACAGCATCATCGTCATCACCACGCAAAGTTCTGTTCTGTTCTTTTGTTTGAAGGCTGGGGAAAAACTGTGCAGCCCGCCGCTGATGCCGCTGATGCCGCCGAGTAGGCCAGTTTTCGACACTTGTCCAAGTGTGAACGCATCGTCGTCAGAGTGATTGCTGCAACAGGGGGGGGCAGTCAGGCACTGCTGTCTGACAGCCAGTCTGTCTGGTCCAGCCAACAATTTGTTTTCCCCCACTTACACTTTAACCTTTTCCCTGCCATCCACAATTCCCATTCCCATTCCATTGGAATCCATTCCAGGCGAGTCTAGGCGGCATAATTTCGGCAACTGTGTAAAGTGGAAAGCGAGGGCCGACTTGTCACTCGATTTTCTTATGAAATACATCAGCGGCAAGTAAAAACGAAAACACAAACAGCGCTGAGAGACTAACGAACTTCAAATGCCCTTCCATGCGGATTCGTAGTTGGATCTTTGATCGAAACAGTCGCTTGGCAGCGGACAGGATTATGTGGCGACTAGTTAAGCAGGGTATGCAATGAGAGTGCTGCTATACTCCTTTGGCAGGGTAAAAAACCCCCAAAAAAACGATGTGGCTGAAGAAGAGCAAGTCGGAGAGGAAGAGAGAAAAAAAAAACTTCAAGTGGTTTGTCAGCAACATTTCAAACAAAGCGTCGGCGATGGCAACTGCAGGCAGGCAGCAGGGCAGCAGGCAGCAGCAACATCTACTAGTGGAACAGGCCCTCTTGTCTGTGGCAGCATCGAGTTGATAGAAAGAGAGACACAAACTTGTTTGCATCCTCTGACAATGTGCATTTTGTTCACACCGCAGCGCACCGCACCGCACAGAAAAAGCCACAGCCACTGCCACAGCCACAGCCATTGAGGAGCCATAGGCAGTCTCCTCTCTGAAACATTTCCCCCACGAGGCACGAGGGGCCACATGCCATGTGGCATACAGAACACATTCGACATTTCAGCTTGGGGCTGGCGACGAACGGTGAACCCCGAGAGCTCGTAAAGCACAATGGAAGCTAGGCTGGGATTTGCAAAGACAAAGCCAGGAAAAAACAGTTTTAAAGAGGGAATTCTTCAGAATTGATTCCGGTAAGGTGGAAACACAAAACACCATACATATGGATGAGCGCCGTATTGAAGTAATCAACAGAATGGCAGTAACAGAAAGGAGTAGTAAATGTAATAAATACAAATTGCATTTTGCAACTGAGAAATTTGTCAAATGAATTAGTGCTACCCCATCCCCAATTCCGGATATCTTTACTTTCATTCCGCTCTCCGAATAATTGCAATTGTTTCGCATTTATTTTTCCTTTGCTTTGCTTTGGGGGCAAACTTTTCGCTTGTTTTGTGGTGATTTCAGCTCAATATCGGGCGAGGAGTCGAAGAGCACGATTTCTTAATTAAAACTTGGCATTGTCTAATGAAATGGAAAGCGTTTGGCTGGGTGGTGGCCGCCCAACTGAATGACTGCGATGACTCGATGGTTGGGGTGGCCCTCTGGGTCTGTCTAGACTGTGTTAAACTTTCCCCCCGAATATCATCTCGCAGCAACAGCAGCCAGCAGCCAGGACGTACAGCAGCTGGTAGAGAACTTGGTGATATTTATTTTTACAGCCGG